TAACATCAGGCTGTGGTTCTGACGTTCATTAACATCAGGCTGTGGTTCTGACGTTCATCAACATCAGGCTGTGGTTCTGACGTTCATCAACATCAGGCTTTGGTTCTGACGTTCATTAACATCAGGCTGTGGTTCTGACGTTCATTAACATCAGGCTGTGGTTCTGACGTTCGTCAACATCAGGCTGTGGTTCTGACGTTCATTAACATCAGGCTGTGGTTCTGACGTTCGTCAACATCAGGCTGTGGTTCTGACGTTCATTAACATCAGGCTGTGGTTCTGACGTTCATTAACATCAGGCTGTGGTTCTGACGTTCATCAACATCAGGCTGTGGTTCTGACGTTCATCAACATCAGGCTTTGGTTCTGACGTTCATTAACATCAGGCTGTGGTTCTGACGTTCATTAACATCAGGCTGTGGTTCTGACGTTCGTCAACATCAGGCTGTGGTTCTGACGTTCATTAACATCAGGCTGTGGTTCTGACGTTCGTCAACATCAGGCTGTGGTTCTGACGTTCATTAACATCAGGCTGTGGTTCTGACGTTCATCAACATCAGGCTGTGGTTCTGACGTTCATTAACATCAGGCTGTGGTTCTGACGTTCATCAACATCAGGCTGTGGTTCTGACGTTCATCAACATCAGGCTGTGGTTCTGACGTTCATTAACATCAGGCTGTGGTTCTGAAGTTCATCAACATCAGGCTGTGGTTCTGACGTTCATCAACATCAGGCTGTGGTTCTGACGTTCATCGACATCAGGCTGTGGTTCTGACGTTCATCGACATCAGGCTGTGGTTCTGACGTTCATCGACATCAGGCTTTGGTTCTGACGTTCATTAACATCAGGCTGTGGTTCTGACGTTCATCAACATCAGGCTGTGGTTCTGACGTTCATCAACATCAGGCTGTGGTTCTGACGTTCATTAACATCAGGCTGTGGTTCTGACGTTCATTAACATCAGGCTGTGGTTCTGACGTTCATCAACATCAGGTTCTGGTTCTGACGTTCATCAACATCAGGCTTTGGTTCTGACGTTCATTAACATCAGGCTGTGGTTCTGACGTTCATTAACATCAGGCTGTGGTTCTGACGTTCGTCAACATCAGGCTGTGGTTCTGACGTTCATTAACATCAGGCTGTGGTTCTGACGTTCATTAACATCAGGCTTTGGTTCTGACGTTCATCAACATCAGGCTGTGGTTCTGACGTTCATCAACATCAGGCTTTGGTTCTGACGTTCATTAACATCAGGCTGTGGTTCTGACGTTCATTAACATCAGGCTGTGGTTCTGACGTTCGTCAACATCAGGCTGTGGTTCTGACGTTCATTAACATCAGGCTGTGGTTCTGACGTTCGTCAACATCAGGCTGTGGTTCTGACGTTCATTAACATCAGGCTGTGGTTCTGACGTTCGTCAACATCAGGCTGTGGTTCTGACGTTCATTAACATCAGGCTGTGGTTCTGACGTTCATTAACATCAGGCTGTGGTTCTGACGTTCATCAACATCAGGCTGTGGTTCTGACGTTCATTAACATCAGGCTGTGGTTCTGACGTTCATTAACATCAGGCTGTGGTTCTGACGTTCATCAACATCAGGCTGTGGTTCTGACGTTCATCAACATCAGGCTGTGGTTCTGACGTTCATTAACATCAGGCTGTGGTTCTGACGTTCGTCAACATCAGGCTGTGGTTCTGACGTTCATTAACATCAGGCTGTGGTTCTGACGTTCGTCAACATCAGGCTGTGGTTCTGACGTTCATTAACATCAGGCTGTGGTTCTGACGTTCATTAACATCAGGCTGTGGTTCTGACGTTCATCAACATCAGGCTGTGGTTCTGACGTTCATCAACATCAGGCTTTGGTTCTGACGTTCATTAACATCAGGCTGTGGTTCTGACGTTCATTAACATCAGGCTGTGGTTCTGACGTTCGTCAACATCAGGCTGTGGTTCTGACGTTCATTAACATCAGGCTGTGGTTCTGACGTTCGTCAACATCAGGCTGTGGTTCTGACGTTCATTAACATCAGGCTGTGGTTCTGACGTTCATCAACATCAGGCTGTGGTTCTGACGTTCATTAACATCAGGCTGTGGTTCTGACGTTCATCAACATCAGGCTGTGGTTCTGACGTTCATCAACATCAGGCTGTGGTTCTGACGTTCATTAACATCAGGCTGTGGTTCTGAAGTTCATCAACATCAGGCTGTGGTTCTGACGTTCATCAACATCAGGCTGTGGTTCTGACGTTCATTAACATCAGGCTGTGGTTCTGACGTTCGTCAACATCAGGCTGTGGTTCTGACGTTCATTAACATCAGGCTGTGGTTCTGACGTTCGTCAACATCAGGCTGTGGTTCTGACGTTCATTAACATCAGGCTGTGGTTCTGACGTTCATTAACATCAGGCTGTGGTTCTGACGTTCATCAACATCAGGCTGTGGTTCTGACGTTCATTAACATCAGGCTTTGGTTCTGACGTTCGTCGACATCAGGCTTTGGTTCTGACGTTCATCAACATCAGGCTGTGGTTCTGACGTTCATTAACATCAGGCTTTGGTTCTGACGTTCGTCGACATCAGGCTTTGGTTCTGACGTTCATCAACATCAGGCTGTGGTTCTGACGTTCATTAACATCAGGCTGTGGTTCTGACGTTCATCAACATCAGGCTGTGGTTCTGACGTTCATTAACATCAGGCTGTGGTTCTGACGTTCATCAACATCAGGCTGTGGTTCTGACGTTCATCAACATCAGGCTGTGGTTCTGACGTTCATTAACATCAGGCTGTGGTTCTGACGTTCATTAACATCAGGCTGTGGTTCTGACGTTCGTCAACATCAGGCTGTGGTTCTGACGTTCGTCAACATCAGGCTGTGGTTCTGACGTTCATTAACATCAGGCTGTGGTTCTGACGTTCATCAACATCAGGCTGTGGTTCTGACGTTCATCAACATCAGGTTGTGGTTCTGACGTTCATCAACATCAGGCTGTGGTTCTGACGTTCATCAACATCAGGTTGTGGTTCTGACGTTCATCAACATCAGGCTGTGGTTCTGACGTTCATCAACATCAGGCTGTGGTTCTGACGTTCATCAACATCAGGCTGTGGTTCTGACGTTCATCAACATCAGGCTGTGGTTCCGGGTCGACTGCATAACTCTCTCATGGTTCTGTCTCTGCTTCTCATCACTAAGACACCACCGAGACTCGACGCCTACATCCCAATGGCTTTCATCGCTAATGTTTTCAGTTTTCTTTTGGTTTGAGCAGTTCAGCATGGTCAGAGAAAGTGAAACCAGAGATCTTAGTGTCTGGGTGCATATTCCAGAGTGCTTAATGGAAACCAGCTGGGAGTGGATTCTTTTAGACTGATTGATGATCATTAAAAATATAATGCAGTTTGACCAAATCCAGTTTCTAAGATACTTTAAGCACTCTGAGATGCACCGCCTTCGATGTGCCGCATGTTTGATCCACTGCCCTTTGTTACAGACTCCAACAACATCAGTGCAGTCAACGCAGCCACAGGGTTACAAAACAATGCGGAAGTGAATTTCCAGCCCTCGACTAATGAGCCGTCAGTGGCAAGCACCCCTCCAGATCCACAACCCTCATCCAAGAGCAAGAGGGAGGCCAACCGTCACTCCACCGGCAAGCACCACCACTCCCATCACCGCCACCGCTCCCCCCATAAAAAGAGCAGTACAAGCAAAAGCAAAGGCAAAAGGAAGAAGTCTCCACTCAAACTGTTCAAGAAGGACAAAGATGGCCGACATCACTCCAGTGGGCACCATCGCAGCCGCCACCGCTCCCCCGAGCGCAGACACCGCTCTCACAGTGCAGAGAACACCCTGGACTCTCGCAACAGAAACGGACGCTCTCCCACCAGACGTCACGGCCACTCCTCTCCCCACAGACATCGCTCTCCTTATCGCTCGCCTCACCGCTCTCCTTACCGCCACCACTCTCCCCACCGCTCCAGGAGACGCTCTCCCACCAGGCGCCATGGCCACTCTCCTGACCCCTACCGCAGGTTCGCCTCCCCAGACCGGCAGAGACAAGCCACCAACGAGAAACCTAACGGGGAAGTCTTGAAGGAGGTGCCAAAGTCTCCTGAACCCGCCCTTTCAGAACCTAGTGTGCTCCGAGAGCCCCCAGCCCTGGACCGCCTGAACCGCGAGGCCACTCTACCATCGCTGTACCGGGAGCGGCTGTACGGAGAGGACAGCCTCCTGAACCGAGCCTCTTCCATGGAGAGAGCCTACAGGGGCGACGGCCTGCTGCGAGACGTCGTGGCCCGCAACCAGAGGGATCCTTTCAGAGATGTGACGTTACCCAGAGTGCGCACGCCTGAGTCCGATTCAGCCTATCACAGGTACAGCTCACTGCTCAGGGGTCGATCCCCCGACAGGCAGGACCGGGACGAGCGTTACCCGAGCCGGGGCAGCACTCCGGAGCCCCGGTACCGAGCACGCAGCCTCGGTCGGGACATCTCTCCCAGACGGGAGGATTCAGAGGATGAAGAGGATGATGACAACTTTGTAGCGTCCAAAGTAAGAGAGTACTACAGCACGCTGAAGACCAACACCAGCCGCCCCTCGCAGTCCACCGTCCCAGAGCCCAAGAGGAGCTACAAGGACAACCCCAAAGACCTGAGTATTTGATCGGCTGGAGTCAGAACGAGTCAGAACATCAGTCTCAGAACGTCACAGTCTCAGAGCGTCACTATGGCTGCTAAGTCCCCGTCGTTAGAAAAACAGTCAAAGTCATATGTGCCAACATCTCAAAACTGAAACTGAAATTCCAGAAAGACTTTGAAAAGCTTTGTTTCTCTTTTTTTAACTGTACGTTTTATTTTCTGTTGAACATTAACATTTATGACACTTGACTTTTCCAGAAAATATAAAACCACAAAAAACAAAGATGTGCCTAATAGTTTCATCAACAACAACTTTTCTTTCTGACCTACTCCATGAAGGCAGTTTGTGCCTCAGTCCGATGATGAAATGTATGAACTTTTCCACTGACCCCGAGGACCATGCACTGGGACCACCACAGTCGGTGCTCTGGAGGACCATGCACTGGGACCACCACAGTCTCTGGAGGACCATGCACTGGGACCACCACAGTCGGTGCTCTGGAGGACCATGCACTGGGACCACCACAGTCGGTGCTCTGGAGGACCATGCACTGGGACCACCACAGTCGGTGCTCTCAATAATGCTGTGCATGTCTTTTCCACCTTCACCGTCTCTTTCTCCACTCTCTCTCTGTCTGTTTCTCTTTCTCCCTCTTTCGATATAGCTCCTCCCAGTGCCACTGTTTTTAGACATTTGACCAGACTATAGCACAAGCCTGCATTTGTTTGTATATTTTTGACAGTTTGTGTACATTTAAAGGTGGTCATTTTAAATGAATGAAGGGAAAATAAAGTATGACAATGATGTTAAAATAAAATAATATATTCAACAAATAATCACATGTCAAGTGTTTCCTTGGTTTTGGCGAAGGTCGTTCTGACGTCGGCCTCGTCTCTGATGCAGAGACTTCTGTTTGTGCTTTAGTCATTTGTTTATTTTACAACAACGTCAGGATCCTGGTCTGTCACAAAAACTACTGTAATGTCTTTTATCTTTCTTATACTTTGAGTCTGTAGGGTCCAAACACCGGTCCACAGGTGCCAGAAGAACCATGGGTGTAGTTAGTTCTGCTGTTCGTAAAAACCAGTTCATAATCAGCAGAAAGCAGTCGCTGAAAACGTACAGTATTTAGTTTGATTGTTCTCTCTGTGCGGAGTTAGTCTTATTTGCTCCAAAAGGATCATTGCAGATGATTCCTCAGTGATTATGGAGCAGCTCCTAAATCATGAACGTCCTCCACTTTCCACTGAGACACTCGTTCTTTAAATCTCTCTCCTCCTTTTTATCCACGCTCCGCTCCCTCTCGTCGTCAGGGAAGTTTCTCATCAGGACGAGACACAAATGTTCAATCTAAACATGTCTCATTCACTCATGAGCCCCGGCGACTGACACGCTGCAATACCACCCCGGGCCTGTGGCGGTGTACCAGGAAAGAGAATTACCCAATACATAGTTCCCACAGACCAATGAATGTCACATGACCTCCTCGGAGACGCCATCTTTGATGGCACGCTGCTTTGTTTGTGCATTCCATTAAACAGAAGAATGAGAATAAATGTAGATATTCAAACGCAAATTGGAAAAAAAGGGCAACTTTTGAGCAAATAATTGTATATTAATACAATGGCACCACAGTTTAACGTGCTACGGACATGTTTTACATATTTGATCAAATTATGCAGCAAAAATTAACAAGCAATGCAAACATTTCTCAAAAACTTTAGATTTAATACCAGTTGGAGCTCCATTTAATTATTTTAATTATATTAACAATTAATTTAATTAATGCTAATGCCACACGGACACTCTGGATTGCTGTTATTGTTTATTTCCGCGTTTTTGACCGTATGTTTTGGTGAATGGTGGGCAACTGATTTTTCCAGGCGTAAAGAGCAGTTTATTTTATGACACAGATCTTTTTACAGAAGCAATGCTGTTTGTGAACATTGTTTTAGCCCACCATAGAACTATTATTATCTATTTAATACATTTACGTTGCCCTCGAGAGCCTCGGACGCGACACCGATCCTCCTCATAATAAAGTAATCTAACGCTAAATAATGAAACTCTCAAGTTACCAGCTATCAGCATACACAAGTTAGTACTGAGTAAATTACGTCTGTCAACACATTATAAGATACGATACGCACCTGACACAAAGTGCTCCGAGCATATTCTTGCGTGTTTTGAGGGAGTTTCTTGCCTGTTTATCTTCGCAAGCCATAACCTCCGTGGTTGTTCTGACAAAAGCTTAGTCTTCTCACATTCATGAAGTCTAATGATGGGTATACTGTAAAATCCAAGTTTAACGGAACCTCCGGCACGATTTGAACATCCATTGACCCAGCAGGAGACGACCATTTTCAACTTTATCACGACATTAACACGTTTCAGCTTCTTTTTCTATTGTTTTGCCCACAGAATGCCAACACAAATGGCGCCGGGTCGGCAAATCCCCGTATGTAGTGACGTCATGTGGGAACTATGTATGGCGTAATCTTTTCTCTTGAAAATGTCTTTACAGGATGATCCAAAAGTGGCTCTTGGTCCTCTTTGTTCCAGATGCTGTCTGAGGGGAGTGTATGTTTTTGGACCAGTCTAGTTTAGCCGCTGTGGACTTATGAATGGGGTTAGTGCAGCTAACACATGCGCAAATGTGTTTTTTAACATGTTCTTGCCCCGCAGCCATTTTGAAACTGCCCTAGAAGCCTAAAGTGATGTCACATTAGTATAATCTGTGGATGTAGACGTGACTACACCGGTTCATATTTACAGGCTCTCTCTGAGTCTTGTGGTGCTGTAGTCTGCAGGTCTGTCTCCATTCACCCCGGCTTCAGGTGCCCCGGCCTCAGATACCCCTCCCTGTAACCATGGAAACGCTGGTGCATCACGGGCTTCTCTGCACGGACCTGGCCGAGACTGCAAACACAAGAACGACGTGTAAATCTCTAACCTGCAGCAGAATCTCGGAACACGGCGTCGATGATGAACGACCTCTTCTTCTCTTGTTCTCATCCCGTAAACGCCGCACGCTCAGCCGGCCACGAAAATCAGCCTTTTCAGAAAGATGGGAGTGAGCGGTTTGGGCCCTTGTTACAGACCATTAATATGCTGCGCTGTGTTGTTCATAAACAAATGACAGCTCCAGGGTAATTTGAACGCGATGGTTTTATTAAAGAGAAAAATGACTTCATCTTCCTCCAGCTCCAGAGTCATCCGTCAGAGGCAGATCCAGGTCTGAGTCTGGAGTCGCTCTGGAGGGTTTCTTTGCTTTATTAAAACACATTTATACAGTTTATCAAGACTCTCAGCTCAGAATGACCAGAGCGAGACTTTGCTCTGAGGCAGCCGTGACCTGATTCAGACTAAGACAAGATTCAACAGTAAAATCTGACTGTTTGGGAGAAATTACTAATGTGTAAAGTGTAATACAGTAAAGGGCTTTGTTTACAAAATAATAATAATAAATCAGTTTTATACAACGCTTTTCAGGACACTCAAAGACGCTTTACACATAAACTACTGTAGCCACAGCTGCCCTGGGGCACACTGACAGAAGCGAGGCAACCAGTCTGTGCCATCAGCCCCTCCCACCACCACCAACCATTCACACACACACCAGACCCATTCTAATGTGGGGGAAGTGTCTTGCCTAAGGACACAACCACAGTTTGGCACTTTACAGCCGCAGCCGCCCCACTGTGGCACCTGCTGTTCCCAGAGGTCTCCCATCACAGGATTAACCAGGCCCTGCCCTGCTGAGCTTCAGAGGTCTGAGGGATCTGGCTTTCATCTGCAGGTATGGCCAAAATATTCTTTTATTTTACTATTATTTTTACGACAATTGTTTAAAGGTCAGCAGGACACAGGAGTTATCTTAGAGTAAGAAAAATAATCTGAAAAAGCTTTACCCTTGTCCTGACCCCACAGGGATTTAGAAATACCCTAAATCAACAATCTAACCTAAGTGTTCATATATTTATCAAAAATTCTTCTTTCAAATGTTTTTTTTGAATAATGAATGGAACTTTTCTTCTTGACTCTTCCACTTTCCTTGTTTTCAAACAAAGTATATTTTGAGGTATTTCCAGCTCCTTCATGCACACAGACCGTAGGATTCAGAGAAAGTCTTTACATTGAATCGCTTTTATTTTGCAGAATATTAGAATTTAAAAGTATTAAGTTACATTTTTATTGTTGCTCAAACACAGAAATGTACCTGTGTTGTTTGTGTTGATAATTTCTCCAAACACCGGCCCTGGGTCTTTTTCTTCTACTTTTAATCTCTTGGTGCAGGTCATTCTGACAGAGATTATATTTATTATAGAGAAGTGAGAGCTCAGAGCACAACATGCTGCTGTGTTTCTTACCTGAGATAAAAACTTTCTAAACCTCTAATGGCTCTGATGGTAAAGGAGACGGAGTCACATGGTGTATATGGTTTTTCAGATGGAGCCTTGTGTGCGTGGTTGGTGAACACAGCGCCCTCTACTGTTGAAAGGGCACAAGTGCAGGTTCACTGGAATGGCAACAATGGATCTATTTTAATAAACTATATATAAATAAATAAATGATGGCGACACAACAGGAGAAAAGTGATTCCACAGAAAGTCTGAGATCACGGGTTCAGAGAGATTAAAATGAAGACTTCCCTCTTTTTCACCGTAATGCAACAAAATACCACAACAATCCAGCAAATAGAACAGAAACACATTCTATGAACTTAACAGGAGCAGGATGAAGAAAAACACTTCTTATAAACTTTTACCTCATTTTTATACAAAGAAATTTACATATTAGATAATATATGTCTATCTCTCTCTCTCTCTCTCATCAGGACCACCACACAGACCCCTCTCCTGCCGCTCTGTGGAGGTGGAGGTGGATGTGGAGGTGGAGGTGGATGTGGATGTGGAGGTGGGGGTGGAGGTGGGGGTGGATGTGGAGGTGGGGGTGGATGTGGAGGTGGAGGTGGAGGTGGAGGTGGGGGTGGATGTGGAGGTGGAGGTGGATGTGGAGGTGGATGTGGAGGTGGGGGTGGATGTGGAGGTGGAGGTGGAGGTGGAGGTGGAGGGTGGGGGTGGATGTGGAGGTGGATGTGGATGTGGATGTGGAGGTGGATGTGGAGGTGGGGGTGGAGGTGGAGGTGGATGTGGATGTGGAGGTGGATGTGGATGT